GTTAGAATAGGGATACAAATATGGAGTGTCTGTAGGTCATGTACAGATTGAAATTGTTCCCATGACGCCTGACAGTTGAAGGCATTTTACGGAATATGCAATGATGTATACGTATTAAATATTGTAAACTTGTCATCAATTCCAGCAGATGTGTGGAAATTATACTGAATCTATTTACCTTTATTAATCATTGTCCTAAAGTAATAGTGTTATATATCTTTTTATTCTGATATGACATATGTTCACATTGTATTATGATATACAACTGTCTTTTGCAGATATTTTGTATGTAATGTTTAATTTTGAACATGTTCTTATTGTTTTTGTTATTCTTCTGCCTTTGCAGAATTTCGTTTTGGATTGTGTTTAATAATGAATGGTGAATAAACGGGATAAACTAAATTACATTGAACTACAACTTATTACGATTTCGTATTGGGTCACGGCATCCAACTGCGACTTAATCAATTACTCCTGACTTATTCAGACCAACATATTTAAATAGACGAGATCAATTTTCATAAATTCATTACCTTTGTATTGTTGTCCAGTTCATTCAAACTATTAGTTACCGCTCTACCTCTCGCGCGCTTCGACTTAGTGCCTCTTTTCACCTCTAATAATTTCCCTTTTAACAATATATAATAATATCTTATAAATGCCCCTATCAAAATCTGATGAGGGACCCTTTTCCGTCGACAAAAGCCATTTCCTATTCTCATGACTGACTTTTTTAATCCCTGGTGAGTGCCTCTTTTTGAGGGTGTAAGAAGTGCCCCATTTTTACCTCTGATAAGTGCTCTTTGTAATTTGGCACATGCTCCTTTTCTTTCCTGATAAGGGTCTCCTTTTCCTCTCATCATTAAACGAGCCCTAGCTTTCCCCCAATGCTCGCTCATTACGCTCTCACGCATCTATACATGATATACTTATGTTACTTATCAAAGTTCTGTTCAGTCTTCCGATATGAGAATGTGCTTATAACCCCATTAGGATTATTTTTTACTCTTTATAAGATGTAATTTTTCGCACTGGGACCTCACACATCTTAAAATTTGTCCTCGCTTGCTTTGCTCTCTCACAAACATTTGTTTAGACAATCAAGCCCAACTGCAAAGCATGATGCTTAACCAATATCTTGTGAGGTGTATAAAGTGGAAATAGTAGGTGCCCTTTTTCCCAGAAATTTCCCCTTTTCCTTGATACCCCCCCCCCCCCCACTTTGGAAGTCGCTCGGCCGCCCCTGCCTCGTTCGCCACGTCGATCATATATATATATATATATATATATATATATATATGATATGTGTTGGCAATAGAGTGATACACACGGGTTTCAGTGAAATTCCAATCCATTAATTGATTGACAGGACAACCCTATATATAGACTTTCAAATATCGGACAATTTCAAGGAGAAGAAAAAAAAAGGGACACTTACTCCCAGACTACCACTTCTGGACTACCAGCCAAAAAGAGCATTTATCCAGTTATTCAAAATAGCAACCTATCCGAGCATGAAACTGAGAGGTAGTTTGACCTGGGGTACTTGTCCTGAGTGACTTGCTCGGGGTACTTGCTTATGAGTTCATTGCCATCAGAGCTTTGGGGTAGTTTTCCAAAAGAGGCTATTTTCCAGGAATGGGTATGTTTTTAAAAAAATGCTGTATTTCTGTAGTATGCAGGGATGTATGATCACCCTCATCAAGTGTCGGTATTCCTCTCCTCTACCATCAAGGTCCTGATATATTTTGGTTTTCCGTGTGCAGAAAACGTGATGAAATAAAGATAATTTATAATTCAAAGTCAGTCATGTATAAATGCCTGATCCCTGTGTATGAACCTTAATATGATCTGCATAAACAAATCATTGTGATCCGCCATATTGAATTAGCGCTTGTGTTGTGATTGGTTTTAGATTATGTTATTGATCTCATGTATTTAGGGTTCTCTTTTTAAATCATTTTTCGCTAGCTGTGACAGGTTTGAAAATACTAATTGCAGTTTGTATCCGTTTTTAAATCGCAATGGAAATATATATAATGAAATAATTGATTCAAAACGATTAATAAAAACAATCTGAATACCAACTTTCCACTACACTATTTATTTTATTACTAAGACTGCTTTAATACATTTCTTGTTGCGCATGATAATACAAATGATAGTTACAGTAATTTTCCGATTTTGTATGCTTTGTATCAACAGTTTCAGAAATTAACTAGGCAATCCAACATTCAAACGAGCTACACTACAGGGTGTCAGTGAAAATAGAAACCCAAGCTTATATTTGTAAATTACTCAATTATCCTAAATTATTGTTATTATTATTACATACATCACTGAAAAGCTCATTTTTATTTCTATCATATGACAACAAGAATATGATTCATTAAAACAAGTCTGAAGTTGCAATGACAGAAAAACAAAACGAGTTGATGAAAGTTGTTTTGAAAAGACAAATGATTTGGGAATATTGATTATCGAAATTCATCATGTAAAGCCTGATATTATCATCTTTCATTTTAATCATTTTAAGGCTAGCCTTAATACCTCCCTTCTACACAGTTATTAAGAAAGTATTTCTCCTGTGATTGTTGATGTCGTCATATGTAAACTTGTCTACGTACATTTAAACCTACATATTGTTGTCTTACATTTGTATTTCTATACCTACATTACTGTCATGTTTATTACATAAGATTTCTTCAATAATTTGTGTAAGTTAATCATGTAAAGGGTTTAGAGACGATTAACCTTCAGCGCTGTATGAAGGTAAAGTATATATTTATTTAAACATATTTTGTTATGTGCACATTAACCAAAGGTTATTCAGTATTATTGAGTAAGTTAACGTTAATCTTGTGTCTTATTTTCAGGGACACCCCGAACAATCAAGTTTATAATATAACCACATTTTTAACGAATACAACCTAAATAATGTATAATAAAGTGCAATTTTCTAAGTAAACCATTATGAAGCAAATGAAACTGATTAAACAGTTTAGTCATGGCACAAGAAGGTTACTCCAAGAACTGTAAGTATTTGTAATTACTAGACAAAGGTTTAAAGCAAAGAATAGGTATAATATGTATATTCTACAGTTATTTCATTATTTCGTCAACACTTGTCTACTTTTCGTTAACCACCGCTAAAGTATATATTGATATTTAACGCTACATGTTTTGTTAACAGGACATGTATATATATATATATGTATACATGTTTATATATTTTCCACGATATTTGCCAAATCTGTCGGTCAATTCAATCTCGTGTCGCCCAAGCCACTGGCCTGTCTCTTTGGTCTAGCGGTTAAGACATTGGCGTTCTCTTAGCCAGTGATCCGATTCAATTCCCGGCGAATACAATTTATTCAACCTTTGCAAATACAAATTAAAAAAGAGGACAGCAATGGCTTAAAGCTACGCAACCATTATTATCTCATTACCAGTGCAATATAAACACATACATAATGTCATGACTAAAAATGATTAAAATGAATTGAATGCAAACGATCGTACCATCAATATCATCAATATCATCATACTTTTTTCAACAATGAAAAAAAAAACTCTTTTCTGAGTAATAGACCACAAAGTATCATGTAAGAAAATTCATCTGATCATGAATGCTCGAAAAGGTACATATTAATCTACATTTTGTCATTAAAATAAAATAAAGATGCTAACAATAACATTCACCTGGTTGCCCGAACATGTGCTGACAGACTATTGGTATTTGCAAAACGCTTGTGGAAGGAGATGATGGGGGGGGGGGAGTTCTGTGTGGTCTAGTGGTTAAGGCATTGGCATTCTCAGCCAGTGATCCGGTTCGATTCAAGGCGGAGATAATTTGTACAAACTTTGGATAAAGATTTTAAAAAAGAGGACAGCAATCGGGATCTTGAATTTATGCTACGCAACTTTCATCGACTCAATTCCTTTCGCATTATCATTATTATATATATATATCATGACTAACATTTATTTAACCACAAAAAAGAATCGACCTCTTCTTGAGTAATACACCACAAAGTATCGTTACACAAAATATAATCTGATCATGAATACTATGATAAGATACTTAACAGTTTTACAGATATAATTTCGTAATTGAAATATACTAAACATTATAACAAATAACAATCACCTGGTTTCCCAAATATGGGGTGACGGAACATTGATAACTGCAAAATGCTCGGGGAGGGGAATGGGGGGTTCAGCCCGCCCCTCTCCTACATAGGAGACAATGTAACATCATGTTCTCTTAAAAGAAGACCTTACAAATAAATGAATAAAAAACCATTTACATTTTTACATAATTTTTTTTTTACATAGTATGGTTTGATACAATATTTTAAGTGTTTATAATTTATTCAGATAATAAACGAAATTAAACAAATATATTGAATGTATAATTAACATACATTATACGCAGGAGGGCTACAGAAATAAGCAAAGTAGCCCGCAGCCCTTACATTTGGAAATCTGTGTTGATAGGTGATGTGACGCTTTCCTCAATTTGGCTGTCATCATAGGTCGGATTGACCATACACATAGGATCGGGATTGCCGTCTTTTATAGTAGGCAACAAGTAATTACCCGAGGCTCCTGGGCTGAAAGTGCTAATCACGCCAGCTAACGAGGATGGCGCGTCGAGCTTACTCCACCCCTGGAAGTGCTTGCTTCTTTCTTCAGGAGCTAGTCAAAACAGGCTAGCCGCCATTGTTTACGGATGTGAGGCTTCCGGATGCAGTAGAGTAGAAATATGGACAATCCTTGGAAGGAGTTCAGAACGACGAAAATTGGTTGAGCCACCTGTTAAACGCAAATGTTTCAGAAATAATAATTATGTGTATGGAATTCCCTCTCATGTTCTTCAGATAGTAAACATCTAAATAGGTATTGCTGGTGTATCTAATTATCATAACTGAGTTCTCAAGATACTTAGAAGAGATAGATACCACACATGAGTTATTCTTTAAGCTAGTTGGCTTTACCTTACTGAATGACGGGAATAAAAGAAGATATCCTGTGACCCAGGTCAGACCGAACAGGAGCAAGATGCAGATCGCGTTCTGGACGCGTTCGATAGTCTCTTGACGTTCTTCCTTAACCTCCCTTTTCTCCCGACCAGCGATGTTGGCTGACCGGAGCAATTGTAGAACCACCAGGATGAAGATGACAATGTTGATGAGGAGGATGATGGCCATGGGAATCAGGAGACCACCGATTTGAGACCAGAATTGTAGAAAGCATCTATTGAAAGTAAATATGCATTTTGTAAAGTGACTGAATGAAGTCAATCGTTACCGACTATTTTAGTGAACTTTATTCAACATTTCCATGGTCCTTGAACCGTTTTAACTCAGAAATTGTCATTTGAAATGGTTTCCCATTATCTATGTTGACAAGTCCAAGCTTTTTTGCCCCATAAGTTACAAACAACATGTGCAATTTTAGTATGTGTGGTGACCGTATTCTCCTTGCGACTTTTCTATAGCTGGGATCACAACATATACTCACGAAAGTGATACCTAAATACTTATTCCAGATCATGACCGCATACTTGCTATTAAGCTCATGAGATACCTTAATACCAAATGCCAAACATCTAGATTTAAGTATACAGAAACGTTATTTCCTGTAATCGAAATTTGAAGATCACTAGGTATACATTATGCTATGCAATCCAATATGCCGGCTAATCGTTCAATGGTTACTACTTACCGATCATCATGGGCGTAAGAGTCTCTAGTAATAGCTCCAGTAAGAACCACGATAAGTGCAGGAATTCCTGAAATGACATACGTATACAAGGAAAAAAAAATCATTTTATAGTCATGCATGATACGCCTAAATTGGACATGGGCGTAGGTAATTCCTTCACCCGTTTCTTTGATAGGCCTACTCATGTGATCGTTGTGCTGTCCAGCTCGAAAGTGTTTACCACGGTAATGGCGACACTATACGTTTTATTAAAATGAAATAGAAATCTCGATTTTTTAAATATTTTGTATACTCTCTGTGGTTTAAATTATTGTTGTGCAAATCACATGCCATGTCGATTGCTGTTTAATACATATGATGAAGAAATTACACACAAATGGCAACATTGACGAATTCATGTACACTATTAGATTATTTATGGAGGACTACAGTCCGTCGTAATGTGATAAAAATGAACTTCTAGAGTTTTTGAATTTTTTTGTTCATTAGAAAACAGGGACAATTACATATTTCCTATGCTACATTATTAGTAATAAAGTTATATTTCACCGCCCATTCGTCATTTTGTTATTGCTGAAAGTCGATCGCAGCAAAGCAGGTTTTTCGCAACTTGCCAAACTCATTGTTTGATGAATACTTTCAGTACCTACATGTTTAAGTTAAAACAAGTCTGTCAAATGTTTCTGATCTAGAGACATTCTATCTGTATCCAATATGATATGTTAAATAGTAAGCATTATATTTTTGATCCCTGTTCAAGTGATTGGTCAACATAGTATGATGTGAACAAACATAACATTGCTATCATGTAACTGTGACGTCATCCATGGTAAAGTGCACTATACCATGGTTCTATACCATGGACGACGTCATATATATGCGATCGATCAAGATCAATGTGCTATCGGTCGCGGTCGCCTGTCGTCTGTGCTGCTCTCACTGCACTCTACACTACTTCAGTGACAGTAAACATTATTATTAGTAGTAGTATTAATTTTGTTATGAAGGCTGGTTGGAAAAATATAAAAAGAATATATCATGCACTAATTCAAGCCACTAGTGAAATTATGGATTCCTCGGCGACAGAAATAGCACTCTCTTTTGGGGGGCTACGCCCCTCAACAAATAGTGCTGTTCCTGCCACCTCGGTCCATAATTTCAACTAGAGCCTCTCAGTGCATGGTATATTTGTTAACTATTCCGAGAAGAAGAACAAAAAGAAGGAAAGAAATATCTTACCCCATGCAGGTAAGAAAGCCTTAATCATAAAATCCTGGATATAGGTGTAAAGGTTCTTCACAATGATGAGGTAAATATTGTACCCCTCTACAGCCATCCATGCAATGGAGGACAACACGAAGTAGTGAACTAGGGCCGTCAGGAACCCACATGGTACAGCTTGGACCTCACGATAACCTCTTCTGGAATCCAGAGAGATCATGATGACAAATGTCGTGTAGAGACACAGCAAGGTGATGCACAAACAGATGAAGATCTGGCTAGTCTGTTTGGTCCTCACATCCCTATCAATATTACAACATTAAAATAAGGTTAAAAAAGCGTCGACGCCATATTATACCATACATGTACAGGTTTACCATCACTTATCTAGCCACACAGAAAATAGAAGCGTCAAATAACATGAAGAGCAATGTGAAATTACGGGGGATTTGTTTTGTAAAATGAAGGAGATTACGTGATTGTGTATCTTTTCTATTACTAGCGACAAAACCGTCAGAATGGCCACGCGTGTTGAATAAAATTAATCTAGGTGTAACTATTCAGGACGATGTCAAATGGGAAATATATGTACGACAAAGGCGCTCGAAATCAAATATTCTTTCCATTCTTTGCAAACTGCACACTATGGGGCAGAGTATTTGATATACGAAGTTGATAGAATATCAAATATATAGATGATATAAACATATTAATATTATCATCATCATCATCGGTATACGGGTATAAGGTAGTCCTGTAGGTCTCCCGGTTTCTTCCAAGAAATAAGTTCAATTGTCAGTATGCGACTTAAGACGTAATGCGTGGATGTCAGGTTATATGAAATTATTTAACAAGCCAGTGTTTATCTAGACCAGTTTTAAAGATACCTATGTTGCGAGCAGTGACTATTGTAACCTATTTATGACCCTCGTCACACCATCCCTACACCACCAAACAACTAATACTATTTTGGCAGTTTCTCTTCTTCTTCCATTTCTTCTCATTTTTCTCCTCCTCCTCTTACCTTTTATATCACAAACTGTACATTTGTTTATAGTTCTCAACAACCTTGCTAGTTCAAACAGAAGTGATATCTAACAGCACTGTGCTGCACATGGGTGTCGATCCGTAACTGATACCTATTCATCAGGGGGGGATGATCTATTCATTCATCCCCCCCTGATGAATAGGTATTACGTAAGTATCGACACCCATGGTGCTGCAGCTTTATACGTATTTCACAAACCATTTGAATGAAACCATTAATGAATTAAAAAAAATGCATCTCTTTCATAGTTAATGTAACTATGCTTCGTTCAAAAGCTACCAAATTAAATCGAAGATAAAACGAACAGAGAATCATTACAGTATATGTCTCCTTTGAATTATATAAATGATTGCATTTTTTTCTCAATGAGCTCACTTGTTCCACAGGTAGGTTGCCAATGTCACAAGAAGACTGAGGATAGAAATACAGCATCCAATGTAAGTCAGGATGTTGTATGCCTCGATTAATGAATCCTCCTTGCTGTGGATATCCTGTAACATGAAAGAAATGTGAGCCCTAACTGAAACATCTTCTTTGAATTCACAAATACAACTGATTATTTGACCATCAGCTCTCATAAAGTCTATGTGTCGTTAAGGCAAAACTGAGAAATTGGGGGTTTGTTATAATAGAAAGTGGTAGAACCTCATATTACTGATAACAACAAAGGAAAAGAGTTTCACTTTACTACCATTCACTCAAGACACCACACCTTTAAACTTTATTTTTTCTCGAGAGTGAGACTATTATTCAAACACAATACAAGACAAGCTCTGAACTCCACCGTTATCCGGAAGTAAAAGGCGAAGAGGTTGAATAATGACCGCTCATCCACAAACACCTTGTAGTATTTGTTCACCTGTCTGAAAAGAAACTAGGTAGTAACCGTATCCATTCGCAATACAACAGGCGTAAGATAAATCATAATATAGTACATATACCATAGTATATTTTATTCCGTAGGACATACTATACGCCTGGGTCTTTAAAAGGATTATCACGATATAGGTGTAGTAACCTACTGCGTTTAGTTGGGTTATAGTTCTCCGGGGAGTAGTTGACCGGTGATAATGGATATAATAATGCTTAATTGCTTTTCACTAACCATTATAACAGCGAAGTTGGTAAGATGATCACACGCACAGCGCACGTTATCCTCATCATAGCGCTCATCAGACGATGTGATTCCAGAAACAAGAACACACCCATCTTGAGACCAATCTTCCTCCTCCTCATCCCAGAATGAACACATGGGATTCACGTATCCAGACTACACAAACAAACAAAAATAAAAAAAATGCATAGACCCATAATAAAATGTGTTAAATACGGCATAAAAGAAGAATGCATGGCAATTTTGATTGATTAAGTTAAAAAGCCCATTTATCATGAGGAGAATCAAACACAGAATGTTGAAATACATATCATTTTAAAATTTCCCCCCCCCCCTGTATAATATATGTATGTCTACAAATTTAGATATCTACAAATACCGCTAAAGGCAGAATACCAATAAGTATACTATATGAACAAACGTTATTCTGATACTTTATCTTACCGTCATTGTAGTGAAGGTAAAGTTGATGAATTCGGCCAAGGCTGCTACTTTCCCTTGACCAATACTGAGAGAAATCACGGGCGTATTAGCCGATCGATTGAAGCCGTCATTATCTGCACTGAATGTGCGCAATGATTTAGAAATGAACAGGGCTGGAGTTGAAAATACATTGAAGGTGACCCTGACGTATTCACCACTGTCATTCGACGACGATCCTGAGAGTGGGGCCGTGGACGAAATAACGGATGAAACTGAAGGTGGAATGTTGACCTGAGCGATTATGTCTGGTCTGGTAGCAATGACGTCATCGCGGTCATCTCGGGTCGGAGCATTGATGGTAATATTGGACTTGGTCAGGTCTGAAAAAGTGGATCCAGCTAACGAAAGCACAAGACCATGCATAATGTCGTCAACAGGTACACTCTGGACCTGTTATGTGAATTAGAACTTGAATTATTAGTATTGTTATCATCATCATCATCATTATTTGTATTATTACTATCATTATCATTATTATTGTATTTATACTGTGTTATTATTCCTATTACATCTTTATTATCTAAAAAAGCGAACTGGGAGAGGACATCTTTGTTCGCTGTGAAATGTTCTCACTTGACTAATTCGTAAAGGCAGATCAGTTGAGGTGTTCAAAAATAATACAAAATCGGTTCTTTTTGGATTGGAATATAATCAATTATTTACATTATTTGTATTTTGTTATCATTATCATTAATTTCATTATTTTTATCATTATCAATGTTATTGTCATTATTATTATTATTATGATCATTACTGATGATGATGATTGAAAATGAGGCGGTTAGCACCATGCACGGACGTTCAAGTATTAAAGGCATCCCCCAAATTCAAAATGTGATGTATTCCGCACAAATAAATGTACAAATAATGTTGTTGCTTGGTAAATATTGGTTGTTTAACTATAAAGACAAACGGTGTAAGTATCGCTCAGTGTTGGACGGCCGATTTAATGCGACCACAATGGATGAGTATTGCAGTGTCATTAACAAAACATGTTTTCTATTTTGAATATCCAAGTAAATATATATATATATATATATATATATATATATAACTTGGAGAAGACATTTTATATTTTAGTACACTGGTTGAAATCACATTATGTTTTCATAGCCTATGATACAAATGTAAATTCACCTGTACGGCTACATTTGAATGCTGAATGTTGAGCATCCCACCATCGGCAACCTCAACACGACTGATTTGTTCCTCAAAAGCCTGGACAAATTTGCTTATTGCCACCTTCTTCCTCTGCGGCTTCAAGTTCCTCTGTTTCTACCTGAGCTATATTGCTCACTATACCCGTTAAAGATTTTGTTACCTGTCAATTCAAACACAACATATAAAAGTGATTTAAACTACAGTATGCGAAAGTTGTCAAATCTCGGAAATCAAACTAAATGACGATAGGGTAATATACAAAATTTCCCCTAAAGAGCCTGATACGGGTAAGGATCTAGTAAACTTTATATTCACAGTAGTTACAAGGCGTACAATATTGTTAAAACTGGTTATGGGATTTAACTCTTTCACATCGATGACAATTTAATACATGTATTGGAGGGAAGACTCCAATTTGTTCCCATTATATTATTATCGGAACATAATAACATTCATCAACGATCACAACTTCATGTTCAAGTCTGTAGAATACCTCTTCGCTAGTAAGATGTTGCTGCACAATGTTTGATGTTATTTCTGCCACAATCCTGATTTCATCTGATGTGATATCTTCGATATTGGAAGTAACAGATGATACTTGCTGGCTCACTTCACCTGCGTTTTCTTCACCTACAATTACCTAAAATTTGAGGGTAAATATTATTACAGCATGTACACGTTGATTTATACGGCTTCCCCTTCTTAATTAGAGAACATGTTTCCCTTAAAATATTGCCATGACACATATGTAGGTTTCATTTTCCATATATAATCTGTATTATAAAAAAATAAAAAAAATGTGTCCCATACTACATACAGGCGGTTATAATCGCCTACAGTTCTCAAGTGATTTTAGCGTACCAACATCTTATAATTGCAATAATTCGGTAAAATTCTACTTTTCAAACTATTTTATGGTTTTAAATGCCGGATCCAGAGCTAATGAATGGTGATGAGTAGGCCTGTTGCGAGTGCTCCTTTTTTAGTATTGTCAATGAATATGACAAAGAATATGTTGCCGCCTTGAATAAAAATCGTCCAATGCATTTGTGAATGGAATGACATTACGCAAATCGGTAGAATTGATTGACCATAACTAGCTACTCATAACCTCTTAGGCACTATTTTATAGATTTAAAATGTAAAGTAAGGATACACTCCCCCAAAAAGTTGAGTGAGACAGGAACATGCATGTTTATTCTGCAAAATTGTACCCGACACTGGGTAAAATAACGTACCTAATCAGGTAAAATTTACACAATGATAGGTCATATTTTACTCATATTCTATTTGTCATAAATACGTTATCAATTTTTTTTGTTCCAGGTTGTAATGATCGGTGGTATATATAATACACTAAACACAGTGGCATAAAACATACATATTATCAAAAAGCCTCTTTTATAATCAAAATTCGAAAAGAAAATCCAATAACCTGTGCAATTTCGATGAGAAGATCTGTGACATTTCTAAATGGTCCGCAATTATCCACAGGTTGCCACTGGCTCTGGGTAATACCATCACCGATACACAGAGCCCGTCCAATGGGTTCATTGGCTGTTCGGTATGTATATAAAATATTCACATATATTTGTATATATATCAGAAGATCGCTGACAAACAATTATTAACATATACGAAGAAAGAAGGAGATGTAAATGTGAAATGTAGTTAAGTTATTCATGACTCTGGAACTATTTAAAACATTCAATAACACGCGCGGATCTAGAATATTAAGTTAGGTCCGAGGGCTGGTGACTTAGGGATTCTTGCATTTCTGGGTGTGCCTCACTTAAATTCAGCTTTACTAAAAAACAGTTGGGTCGGGGGGGGGGGCTTGAATATATATTAGGAGGGGCTTTTAAAATCCAAGCCCACTTTTTGATTTGCTAGTGTTTGATAATAGAGTGAAGACAACTGCATCGGTTGAAATACACGATTTTGAGTCTAATCAGGACTTTGAGTCTATTTTGGAAATAATATTGCGAGTAAACGAATCGCTTTCAATTAGACTGTCATCACAGTGTAAATGGAATTTGCGTTATAGCTGTAATGTCGTCAATAATCTCGAGCTACTTTTGAAAGCCTTAATCTCTGTTGGGATATGACATGGTCAAAAACATGGCGTTTTTTATGATGACGTTAAGTGCAATGCGGTTCACATTTCTGTATGTTTTGACACAAAAATAAGTGGTTTACATTTGCTGCGCGCAGTTACACACAGACAAAAACGCGGTATAACGCTCCATATCTGAACAAACCTCAGGGAAATTATCATTTTATTCGTGCTATTCAAACTAATGCCCCGTCTTCGTCTTCACAATTAAAAATGAATGACCATTAAAACGAACCTTGAGTAGTGTTGAATGGACACTTTCCTGTTGAATTTGCCCATGTTCCGTTTTCACCCACTTCAAATTCGACTCCTCCAAACCGAGCAAAAATCCAAGAGATATTCTGGCAAATAGCTTCACAAAAAATAAAGAATAACAAAAGCATCTAAAAAAAGAAAGGCTTGAGCGAATTTCGATTCAATTTTTGTTTACAATAAAACCATTGCTGAGAATTGTGCAGATATTATTTAAGACCCGCTAATGACGTATGTGTACATATTTGTGGCTGGTGCAATTTTTTATTTCATATTTCATATTATTGACGTACATACATATGACGCGACAAAATTATAATAATAATCAATTGCTAATAAAATTTCGACGTGGACGAACAATCAACGTGGAACGTAAGATTAATCCTGATTTGAATTTGCGGAGGGGAAAAATGTAGGTAAAGTAATCGTTTGAATTGGTAATTTCTCCCTGTTCATTTATAGAATTGAATTATGCTTCAACTGACTGTAGATAAGCAAAAAGCATGGTATTCAATTGTCTGTATATGTCATTCTATACAAAAAAGGAAGCGATGAGCGTCTTAGAATTCTTATACCCCATTCACAGTGGTTTTGAAATTTGTAGCGGCGTTGTAGCGGAGCGGCGACACCGCCATAACACCGCTACAAATGCATTCACAGTAGAAAAGTTATCCCGCTGCAGCAGCGGGATAAATATCATGTGCCCATTCACGCTGCAGCGGGTGATTTTTATTACCTCCGTAACAAACACGTGTATGCATGGCTCATGACCCGCGAGTGACCCCGATATGACCGGAAATACTTCAGCGCGGGGTTTTCGATTGCTTGAAATTGCGCGCGCTAGCTGTACTTTACACACCCTTCCTCATGTAGCTAGCTCGATCATATTACTTTTTAAAAAACTAGCATTTTTATTGCTTCCAGTCAGGATATTTTAATTTTTTGAAGTGTGAAATATTTTTATTTGGATAATTATAATATCTACATAATAATAAAATCAATTTGAATCCACTGGTTACTTTATTTCTATTTCACTTTATGTTCCCCATTGCTGGAGAAAAGAGGTCAGTGATAGGTAAGTAAACAAATCACACGTGTTTGTCGCGGTGTTATAGCGGAGAGCCTTCACACTGAGTAAACACCGCGACAGCAGCGGGACTGTCCCGCTGCTGTAGCTAGGCGAGCCTAGCGATAGTTTGTCGCGGCGCTATCGCAAGGCGGTGTTATCCCGCGATAGTTTATAACGGGTCCGAGCCTTCACACTGAAGACAACACCGCGACAGCAGCGGGACAGTCCCGCTGCTGTCGCGGTGTTTGAGGCCACTGTGAATGGGGTATCAGTTAAAAAATGGGGATAACAATTAAATTCAATACAAAAGATACGTTTTCACATATCTATTGTGAAGAAGACCACACATATTTGTAGGTCATAACAATCATTTGTTTCCAAAAAATCTTCAATTATTCCTGAGGAGTCTTAGCAGCAGTAGATAGATAGATACATAGATCATTTTTATTTGTCCTGTTTAATCAAAAAAGCTCTTGAACAGATCACGCACTCGTTTATGTTGACGGTGTTTTATTTACCGTCATCAGAGTGTTTCCGGTATAAAGAGTTGAATGTGTTAATTATTGAATTGAATGAAATGTTGCTTACATGAATGTCTCTTTCACTTTTTCCTGAACAGGATGTTAGACATTATCAGATGGACAAAGAAAACGAGGTTTTGTCTCGTACACAGGCTTATAGAATCGTGAATGTCCGTTCATATTTGAATATAGCGAGTTTGTTTCAAATTTCATTTCTTTCTTGAAAGGGGGTGATTCGAAACTA